GATAGCATGACTAGATCCACACTCATCCATTCCTGTGGATTCTGTCATCAATCGTCTTTTATCCCGAGTGGCTTGATATCGTTGTGGCTTGATTTACTCGTGTGCATTAATCTTGCGTCGATCTATAACTGAAGCGTTTACAAGTTACAACGATACTGCTTTCTGTTGATTATACAACGCTGATAATATTTTTCAACAGATAAGGGAAGCCGGCAAATGTTAAGGTGTGTTGTACTAACATTTAAAAAGTACGTTAAACACTGAATTTATGATAAAATGCCGTCAATGTGTAATGATAAGAACGTAAGCAATATTGTGTCGATAAAAATTTGTAAAATTGTATTGTGGAAATAAAACCTTTTGAAGTGTAGTATTTTCAAATACCGCTTAGTTATTAACTAGAAAGCGTTTGAAGAGAAGCCAGGAGGTGGGTGTAACATAAGAAATACTGTACATATATATTCTTGAAAAGTATCCCCTCCCTTTTTTTTTTTTTCGTCAGTTACCAGTTCAATAGATTGTACTCTTACCTCTGTAACAAATTCGGCCACTGTTTGACCTTGTCTTATGCGATAACTATTTACGTATTCTCTATTTACTATTTCTTAAAAAAAACCTATAAAATACGGTGCAACACGTGGTATTATGCTAGATAGGTATCATTAATAGGCCTCTAAAGATTTAAACAGATTACATACAACGTTCGCTGTCTTTTCTACTCGTTTAGTACTAGATAACGTTTGGTAATCGTTTAGTGAACTCAGCGAAACGTTTTAATTTTGATAACTTTAGGTCAAGACCAATAAGGATTTATTGGCTCAGCCTTTTCCCGCTATTTTATAAATGCTCACAATCGAATAACGTCAGGGGGCCTGATCTCAACCAAGCTACAGTTTTAGTTCTGGTTGGCGGATTTTTTTAATATATCTAATTTGCTTTTTTAACAATTTTTAGTAGTACTAGCTACAAGTTGAAATTAACTTGAATACATTATTTATAACAACAAATACGCTTTAATACCTGTTTCATGTTACTGGTTTTATCTAAAGTATTTGTACAAGCTATAAACTAATCCACCACCTTTACAAAGTCTGTTGCTATAATTACTGCCATCTATCGAATATGCAAGTAACTAAGCGAATCAATCAACAGAAAAGTATCCATTTTGATAATTAATTATCCGGCGTTAAAATATTTATACTCATTAAATATTTATTATTTCATCTCTATCTCACGTTAGTTATTTACAGAATCATTAAAAGCTTAGGTTTTAACGCTTCGTGTTTAATGTACAGCTTAACAAAGTTTAACAGAAAATATTATTAGAAAAATAAGTCAATTATTTTAATTATACTTGTCATACAACAAGTGTTAGTATAATTAATTATAATCACGCGTCGACAACTTGGAAAGAACGTTCACATCATAACAAGGCATTACTTATACTTGTCTTTGTTCAGTGGTTTGATTTTCTGTAACAAAAATGAAAAAGAATTTCTGTAAAAATTGTATACAATCACTTGGATACACCTCATATGAAACATATAATTTCAACTTGGGCAATATTTCTTTCATTGTATACAAAATGCATTAACTTAGCACGTGAAGTATTTTAGTAAAAACGTTTTTATTTTATAGTCTCGAAATTATTTTAGGCAATGCCCCCCTCAGCAGGTTGAAAAATATTAGTCGAAAAAAAAGCTCTTTTTCTAGGTTTAGGATGTGCTATTACGTTTAAATATTCACATTAAAACTTAATATACGTCCTCGCAAAGTAGGATGAGCGTGGCATTTTACTTTGATGTTAATTATCACCAGATGGACAATTATTCGGTTGCGTAATCACTTTGCAACTGTCGCGCCACCTTGTAAGATAGTAAATTACTTGTGAAATAATAGCGTTAACAATTTTCCGATTTCTAGCATTGAAAGTCTTCAAACTAACCGTCGGGATGAAACAAAGTCTTTCAACGAAAATATATTACTTTACATTGGTAAATTAGGGCAAGTTGTATACTTTTACGAGTTTTTGGAAGTTTATATTTTTGAGTGTTCAGTACAATTGTTTTTATCGATTGATTTCTGTTAAATAATCGATGTAAACTAGGAAAAAAAAGAAGATATAATTTCACTTTATCTATAAAAAAAAACAATACGTATTTTTACCTTGTTCCCAAAATATTATCAAGAAGAAAGCATTCAAATTTCCTATCCGTTTTGGTGTCAGAGAATTGATCACCAGGATCGTTTAGGTCAATCCAAGTAACAGAAAATATTTCTTCTCACTCCCTTATATAATTTGAAACATAGGTCTGTTTTAAAGTGATAAAATAACCCCAATGGTATTAATAAATTAAAATGTTTCCTTCTTGAGTGCCACACTTGATAATGTTGACTTTAACTTGATAAAACGTTTTTTTTTCTTCTAATAAAGTTCGCGTTGTTTGTTTTGAATTTCGCGCAAACCTACACGAGGGCTATTTGCGCTAGCCGTCCCTAATTTA